TTCTAACGGCATTTTGGTGCTTATTGTTTATGTGGATGACATTGTCGTGACCGGTTCTGATCAAGCCGCTATTTCTAAAATTAAACACTTGCTGCATTCAACTTTTCATATGAAGGAGCTTGGCCACCTCACTTACTTTTTGGGGTTAGAAGTACATCATCAACCTAAAGGGATATTTTTAAATCAGCAAAAGTATATTCAGGATCTGGTTCAGTTAGCTGGCCTCACCAATGCAACCTCTGTTGACACCCTGATGGAAGTTAATGTGAAATATAGCAGAGATGAAGGTGAACTTCTCACAGATCCCACTTTATATCACAAACTGGTTGGTAGTCTTATCTATGTGACCATCACTCGTCCAGATATTTCTTTTGCTGTCCACACAGTGAGTAAATTCATGCAATCTCCTCGACATTTCCATCTTTCAGCAGTATACCGCATCATACGATACCTCCTTGGCACCTCCAAACATGGTCTATTTTTTCCTGCTAATTCATCTCTCCAACTCCAAGCATATAGTGATGCTGACTGGGCTGGCTGTCCAGACACAAGGAAATCAACTACTGACTGGTGTATGTTTTTGGGTAATGCTCTAATTTCATGGAAATGCAAGAAACAAGATTCAGTTTCCAAGTCATCCACTGAAGCAGAATATCGTGCAATGTCTACTGCATGCTCTGAAATAATTTGGTTACGTGGTCTCCTTACAGAGCTTGGATTCTCTCAAGCCCAACCAACTCCGCTGCATGCTGACAACACCAGTGCCATACAAACTGCAGCAAATCCAGTTTATCATGAACGCACGAAGCACATTGAGGTTGATTGTCATTCTATCCGAGAAGCCTATGATCGCAAAATTATCACTCTACCTCATGTCTCAATATCTGTGCAGATTGCTAACATTTTCACTAAAACTTTGACACGTCAGCAGCACAATCTTCTTGTTGGCAAATTGATGCTTGTAGACTTACCAGCATCAATTTGAGGGGGGATGTCAATGGAATTGATGAACAAATTTTCTGGTCATTAAAACCAGCAAATTCACAGCTGGACATTTAATATGCAATTGTATTGTACAGCTGTAATTGTTATTCTTTTCTTAATTAGGATTGTAACTGTTATTCTCTCCTTAATTAAGTTGTAGGATAAATGTAAATATAGCCGTTTAGCTAATTATTGGGCTGAAAATCAGCTTGTATTAAACAGTATATATATGAGAATTCTTCAGCAGGAGAAGACAGTTTTTCTACCTACACTTCTCTAAGTTTGACAAAAAAGACTTCTAACCTTCAAGAAATAAGTTTACTTTCCCTTTTTGCCCTTAATATGACCTAACCCCACTTTTTCTCCACATTTTTCTTTCCCCCATCTCCAACTACTTCATGGGCAACATCCACTTCCTTTCTTCTCTCTATTCTTTGATTCTGCAGTGCTGCCTCTGTCATGTTCTCTGCTGTCTTCTAAGCAACAGTGGACAGCTAGCATTGGCATCATCTAACTTATTCACTAGTACATTTGGCTTAAGACCTATGTCTTTTGTTGATAATTATTCATATGCTTTGTTTATGAATATTTTTTAGCATTATATACATAATTGTCAACATATGTATATATTGTATATCCATATTAAAAAAAAATTAAAATAGCAGTCATCCCACTACATGCAATCCAGCTATAACATGTTGATAGTCGTTTGCTACCCACTGCTATCCAAGAGTGGTTGAAGCTATCTTATTGACAGTGTTTGCTTAGCACAAAGAGGCCGTATTTAAAGAATATTTGGAATTGTTGTGCCTAGTGAGGCCAGTGTCAAGATTACTTTCAAGAATCTATGGTTGTAAAGATTATTTTGTATCAGTGAAAAATATTAATAGGAGGTCAAGGACTACATGTACTCCAGATTGTGCCTGAATCAAAATAAATCTTGTGTATTGATGAATTGGATTTAGGGTCTAGGGTTATATATATATTTCCCTCATATTTGGTGCATTAACCTTCTTTTGTACTTAATTGAATTAATTTGGACCACTTTTACTTTGAGTCTTGGTTAGGCCTTAATTCAATTATTTCAGCATAGCGCATAGTCTGATATTGTTTAGTATTTGGATTATATCTAATATTGTTTAGTATTTGGATTATATCTTGGGCTCTAGACCTCATTTTATTTATGATTCTTGTTTAGTAAGAAAGCTAAGAGATGGGTCTATAACTCTCATGAGAAGTCAAAGGTTGAATCCTAACATCCAGAGCCAGAATGGGGCCTCAATTGGAGGAAAACACAGATTTTGACCAGTGTGCAATGTTTGAACCATATCTTGGTCCGCAAATATTCAATTGGACTCGTTCTAGTGACATTTAAAAGCTAACATCAAAGGATTTAATTCATCTTCAAAAAACGAAGCCAAAAGGATGCAAATTATGGGCCGAAATAAAGGAACAAGTTACAAATTTATTCTAGGAGATTAGGTGGTTACCATTTAGGATTATTTTTTTTCCCTTAAATTATGGTATCTTTCAAACTTCAAATTTGGTGCAATCTTGTTTTAAATTTTTTATAAGATTAAGATTTTTAGGATTTTGATTATCTTCTATTTTAAATTTTGAACCTATTAAAAGGAAAAAAGGGAGAATATAGACAGATACACATTGATAGTTTTAATTTCAATTTGAATTTTTCATTTTTGTTTGCATCTTCTCTTTTCCCTCAACTCTAGATTTTCGTGCTCTTTTACCTATGAAGGGTTGCAAGTCAAGCTCTTTATTCTCTTTAATCTATTTAATTTCATGACCTGAAGGTATTAGTTTTAACTTTATTTTAGAAGTAGTTGATTCATCATTATTTGGATGAAGTATGAGTCAATTTTAAGAAATTAAAGTTAATTAAGTGATATGACAAAATTAACACATTTTGATTGAATTCTAGAGGTTTCTAAAATTTGATTGATATTATGTCAATTAAATGCGTGAAGGTTTTTATGTGATCACTTAGTTTGGGTTGAGGTTTCATTAGAATTCAAGTTTTTAACCACCTAATTAAAATATTGGATTCATTGATTGAGTGTTGTTGCTATCTTCTTGATTCTTGAATTAGGTATTTTCATTAATTGATTAGCACTCCCCTCCCCCCTTTTGTTCTATTTATTTTATTAAACCCCACATCTTACACTCTAATTTGATATATTATTTTGGTGATCCTTGAAAGTCAACTTTGATTGCTTGTCTCGTGGTATGGTAATTAAGTTTTTATTATTTTAATGCGTGCATGGCTGTGCATCATGTATTCAACTCCCTCACTCTCAACTCTAATTATCAACAGAACATTCAAAGGGTTGATTTTCAAAAATGCCATATTTTAATGAAGCCTGCACAAAAAAATTCAACAACCTAACCTAAATCTTAATCCAAACTATATTTGAATAAGTGATATAACCAGTTGTAATGCCTCTATATTCTTTTAAAATAAATTTTTCTCTTTGATTATAACCAGTTGTTATTGTCATCTACGCACTTCAAGAGCATGCTCCATTTTCATGTCGTCTAGTTCTCAACCATACTGAACAAAAGTGAAGTACCAGATTGCTTTTTCTCATTAAAAACCATATTCATACCTATTTAAAATGCTTAATCATAATTAAACCAATTTAAGAATAAAATGTGGATTGGTTTTGTCATTGGTTAAGATCCAATTGCAAGGTATGAGACTTGAGTCTCACATTACAAGTACGGGATTCTAATGTAGGTTTACAAGGCCTTAGGTTCTCTAACTACAATAGCTAGCTTTTGTGGTGCCATTCTTGTAGGGTTCTTATCAAAATCCAATCTATATAACTTGTTTATAAGTGGATTTGGTTTGGTTATAAGTCAAACTTATCCATGGACACACCCTAATTTTAACTCTTGAAATACATATTATAAACAAGTCTTGGAAGTGTACATACAAGAAAACCTTAATCATTTTAAAATAAATTTTTTCCAAAGATATTTGTCTATGGTTGAAAACACACTTCAACCCTCCTTGTGTTTTTTATCACACTTCTTTCAATAATTATGCATGAAACCTTAACACACCCCATTCATGTGTAAGACTAAACATTTGATACGTGAAGTTTGCTAAAAAATTGTCCTAGCCTTTTGAAGGAGTATGTTAGGAAATTATCCTAACCAATGTGGACATTTTAACAATATGCTTAAACCATTTTAAATATTGAACAATTACAAGTTTCAACATGATATTTTCAAAACTTGCAAGGCCAAGAATAGAACATGGGTTCCGCAATTGAAAGTTAAGATTACTAATTTACTACCACCAAGCCATTCAAATTTGTTGGTTTAAAGCTCCAGTCAATTGGGTATATATTATCCTTTTATGTGTCTATGTTTAACAGAATCCTAGATAAATCTAGTTTCGACCTTGAAATCTTGAATCTCTCCTGTTATTGGATCAATGACCAATCCAATTTCCAAAACATTGATAAACATTCTAGTAAACCACGAAACAATAGACCTCCACAAGGACCATGGATTATGAACAAGTAGCATAAACACCAAAATAGTTCCTAGTGTTTTGCAAGAAAATTCCCCTTCCTTCACATTTGAGTGTTTACCAATTATGTGAGTTTGTAGAGATGATCAGACCATCAGATGTACACAGCCTCTCAGCTTTTGAGCAAAGAGGCAGTATACCCCAAAGAGAGAGAGAGAGAAGGGGGGGGGGGCCTCTCAAAAGGCAACAGCCTTTCCATTACATCAATGCTCCCCCTCTAGTGTCAACAATAACAACAACCAAGCCTTATCTAAAGTCACGCTGACCATCTAGTGTAAACTTGAAAATAATTTTAAAATGTTGCATTATAATCTGGGGTTATATCGATTTTTTGTGCAACATTTTTCTAGTAACTAACACATTGACAAAAGTTTGAATTCATGCAGCAACTAAAGCTACATTTTGATATAACACCATTACAGGTATGCATAAGATTTAACAGCTGAGAAATAAGTACCTTTCTTCTTTTATGATCAACAGATTCTAGAGCTGAACGTAACTTTGCTACATGTGCTGCATCATCAGCCTCCTCTGTCGCCAAGGTACCAGCAATATCCTGATAATCAAATGTCAGAAAACAGAAGATCAATACATTATCTAAGGAACACAATATCAGATGATGATCTCATACAAGGGAAATCAATTAAGGATTGAATCATTTTATTTTTGGGTCTGCAGTATACATCCAAACACAATCTAATCAAACAAGTGACACAAAGGTAACTTGCCATAGAAGGTAATTAGGGCAGTTACATCTCTAGGTATAGTAATTGAGCAACTTGAAGGCAAGAGTTTAACATGCATGTAAAAAGTTAGGGAGAATAATGTCGTTAAATTCTAGGCAGCAATTATTTTTTCTTTTAGGGTAACACTAGACTTAAATCTAGAATTGAACGAGACAGTGAAAGAAGATAGGAGGATTGAACTAGATTCATAAAAGGGTATATATCAAGTATCAACAATTTTGTGAGGAAAATATGCAGGGGAAGGGGGGAGGGGAGTGTGCTAGGGCTTCAAATACTAATTGAAGAAAAGTCTTCCAATTTCAAGAGCTTGGGATTTTCATGAGTCCCCAACACCAATCAAGATTATTACGGTCAGTGTTTTAAAAACCAGACCAGCAAATTCAAGTGCTTGGACCAGAACCAACAAGGTCACTGGTCTGAGTAACCAGATCGTTAAAAACAGGTGAAAACAAAATGTGAACTGGAAAGTCTAAAGGAAGAAGAAAGAATCAAACACGGAAAAAAATAGTCATGCAAAGTGTGAAGGAACAGGTCAAAACAGAGCTAACTTTTTGTGTGAATGATCAAGGAAGAAGGGTTTCAAATCATAACTCACTGGCGTAACTAATCCCTCCTTGTCAATAAATAATATATTTATGTTATGCCCACACGTAAATTAATTTAATCATTACTAGTTCAACAAAAATTTAATCATTACTAGTTCAACAAAAATTTAACCATGGTTGATGAATAAACCTTGAACCAGTGTCTTTACCAATCCAATGACTAGTTTGTTTTATAAACATAGATCATGGCATTATAAGTGTTTTTGTTATAAGTAGAAATATAGAGGATTTAATTTAATATTTCAGAAATTAAGAATAGAAAATAACTATTTTAACAGTTAATTAGTGTATCAAGAGAGTTAGTCATTAACGGAAATATAGTTGCAAGGGATTGGATAGCATAGTAGTCAATCCCGGATAGCGGCGCGGAGCGGCCGACCTCAAAAACGCTATAGCGGCATAGCGGATAGCGGGATGGCCGCTATTTTAGGTATTATAAATATACTCATAAACTCATAAATTAAATTACACACATATATATATATATGCTTAGATGTCAATAACAAGTAACAACAAAATATAAAAATAAATTTAACTAACTAAATTTAAGTCTCTAATGCTCAGATGTTTAAAAATACTAAGTGTTCAATTCAAATACAAATATTTTAATAATTATCATCATCTTCATCTCCAAGATTTGCAATGTCCTCTTCATTTTCACTTTCATCACTACTTTTGTAAAGAACCTCCTCCTCCTCCTCCTCCTCCTCATCCTCTTCTTCAGAGTCTTCGTCATCACATTCTTCTTCTTCTTCTTCTTCTTGTACAATTTCTTTCCCTTTTCCCTTAGATTTAGATGAAGAAGCAATTGTAGTTGTCTTGGATTTTGATTTAGCTTGTTTCCTAGTATAGGTTATAGGCTCACTAGCCCCAATTGCATTAGCAACAGCTCCCCAAGTCAAGTTATCATCATCAAACACTAATTCATCTACAGCATCTTCATCATCTCCAGCTATTCCTTCTAGCAACCAATTATTACTATCATCAACATCCTTTAAGATAATAGGATCCACCACGTCAGAACACTCAAAACGTTCATTAAGAGCTTGGTTATATTTAATAAAAACCAAGTCTTGTAACCTTTGATGCTCAAGTCTGCTTCTCTTTTTAGAATGAATATATTTTACCATAAAAAAAAAATATTAAATTTTCACTTTTCATAAAAGAACTTTAAATTGAGGATTCAGATATTTACTTACGTGCTCAAAAGTACTCCAATTTCGTTCACATCCAGATGAACTACAAGTCAAACTCAACACTCTAATAGCAATATTTTGTAAATGTGGTGTACGTACTCCATAATTCTTCCACCATTCAGCTGCAAGTTATGCATCAACTTATTAACCTTTTGTGTTATATCTACATAATTACATTACAATAAAAAAATTAAACAAATCTCTTACCAGGAGCCATTGTAGCCCTTTGTCTTTTTGCTCCACTTAAACCAAAGAGACCTTCAGCTCTTCTATATGTTGACAATTGAACTGTAGCATTGTCTACATCATCTTCACTTGTACATAGCCTCTCAATACATTTATACAAGCCTTCCACAACTTCAGGATCATTCTCAATTTGTTTATTGCTATAAAAAAATTGAGGATTCAGATAATAACCTGCAGCATGTAATGGATGATGAAGTTGACACTCCCATCTTCTATCAATTATAGCAAAAATCTCCTTATATTTGTCTACATTTCCTTTGAATGCATTTTGAATGCTTTCTTTAGCTCTATCAATTGCCTCATATATATAACCCATTGCAGGCTTTCTTTCATTATCAACAAGTCTCAAAACTTGCACAAGTGGCCCCATAGCCTTAAGACAGAAAACCACATCATTCCAAAAAGAAGGCATAAGTACAGTGTCTGTTGCCCTTTTTCCTTTAGCTTCTTTGGCTGTTTTGGACTTTAACCACTCATCGGAAGTGAACATTTTTCTAAGGTTGTTTTTTTTATTATGCAACCTTTGTAATGTGAGGAATGTTGTGGCAAACCTTGTCACTCCATATCTAACCAATTCAGCTTTATTGGTGAACTTCCTCATAATATTCAAAGTCAATGAATGATTATAAATAAAACCCACAAAAGTAACTCCCCTTTGGATTGTTCTCTTGACTCTAGGTATTTTTCCAATGTCTTCTAATATCAAGTCAATACAGTGTGCAGCGCATGGAGTCCAAAACAAATGTGGTCTTTTAGCTTGCAACAACTTACCTAAAATTAAATTGCATAGTCTAAAATTAGAAACTAATAAAATAATTAATAACTGAAATTAATATAGGGAGTTAAGAATAATTCTTACCGGCTAATACATAATTACTTCCATTATCAGTAACTACTTGCACAACATTTTTCTCTCCAATCTCTTCAACAAAGCTATCCAAGAGCTCAAACAACTTTTCTCCAGTTTTCATATAAGCAGATGCATCAATGCTCTTTACAAACATAGAACCAATTGGACAATTTACTAAGAAATTGATCAATGTTCTATTTTTTTTATCCGTCTACGCATCTGACATAATTGAACATCCACATTTTTCTCTTTCTTCTTCACGACTTTTCAACATTTCCTTTGTATACTCTAACTCCTTTTTAAGAAGAGGAACTCTACACTCATGATAACTAGGAGGCTTTAGATGTGGACCATAGTTTCCAATAACTTCAACCATTAATTTGAAACTTTTTGAGCGCACAACGTTGAAAGCAATTCCATTCCTACAAAGGAATCGCTCTATGTATTGAACTGTTCTTGCTCTTGCCTCTTTGACATAAGCATCATTTATACTTGTTTGTCTTTTTGATTTTGCTAATTTGATGCTTGTTTCTGGACTCTTTAACCATAATAAATCCAATGGGCCCTTGACATTTTTTCCTTTTTTGGTGGCATTACAACCACTAACATAAACTGATGCAACACTTGAGGTTGCAGGTCGTTTTCCACTACGAATATTTTGAATTTCTTGCACCTCTTCTTCATCATCATCATCTTCATCATGCTGAAGTAAATATACCTCTTTTTCAATTCTCTTCTTCTCATGAGCTGCTATTAGTGTTTCTTTTATTTCTTTGGGAATCCTTGGACACTTATCAACATCTCCCTTCACTCCCATTTGGTGCCTCTTTGCTCGGGTAATACCGTCTGTAGTCGTTTTTCCACAAAAGTCACAAGTAACAGACTTTTTATTATTTATGTCTTTCAAACTATTCCATTGCCAACCTATATCCAAATTATTTCCTGAAGGCTTCACTAATGCACAGGATGAAATTGAAACAGAGCCGGTTCCTTGTGACAGATTGGGAGGAGTAGCCATTACTTCTTTAAGCTTTGAAATTTCGAACAGAAAATAATAGAAGAATCAAAACAGAGAAGAGAAAAAAAAAACAGAGAAAAATATAGGAAAAAAAAATGTTCAGTACCGGAAAGTTCGCCGGAAGTCTGCCGGAGTTGAAGATGACCGGAAAGTTGTGCTGACCTTGAAGAAGATGAGAAGAGATGAAGAAAATGACTCAAAATAATTTGGGTCACCTTAGAAGCTTGCCGGAGACGAAGAAGATGACCGGAAAATCAAGTGGAAGTCTCGCCGGAAAAACAGAGCACAGCGAACAGAGGATGACCAGAAAACCGAGAACAGAGGAGAGAGAACGAGAACAGAGGAGAGAGAATCGAGAACAAAGGAGAGAGAACCGACGGGAGAAGAGAGGAGAGCAGACTGATGGAGGCTAGGGTTGAAGAAGATGATTCAGAAAAATAAGGGGGGGTCGAAATTCCAAAATTGCCCCCCCTTAAAGGGCCCTAACGGTAAAAGATGAGGGGCAAAAAGGGGAAACGCGCGAGAATGAGATAGCGGCCGCTCCAGCCGCTATTTTCGATGTTTTCCGCCGCGAATCGCGGCGCGACAGCCGCTACTGCGAAACGCGACGCGACGGCGCCCCGCTCCGCCGCGATTGCGGCCGCTATTTCCGCTATTGACTACTATGTTGGATAGTATAAAAAGACCCCTCCTTAATCATTTGAGGATATTATAAATGAAATTCAGTATTGTGTTCCTTTCCTATTTCCTTGTGATTGGAGAGTAAGTCTGAGAGGGATTTCCAATTTCTTCTTTGACAGTGCTGAGAATATTTGTATTTCCATATTTACCTTCTTTCCTTTTATATAGAAATCTAATTGATTATGTAAATAATGTAATTAGGATTCTGCTGTAATTACCTAGTCAATCCCTATAATCAAGGGATCTAGTTTTGTACAGATTTCTCTTATAAGAACCTCTGAATCACAAGAAAGAATACACAGTTTTTACCCTAATTATTTTTCTGTCTCAAGTGACAGTTTTTTCTATCCCTCACATACAGCAGGAAAGTAAAATGAAAATAACAAAAGATTGAGTGTCACATACTGTTTTCTTACGGTGTCTCAAAATTTGAATAAAGATTGAAATTCTATGGTTGATACAAATAAGAATTTAGAATAAAACACTTCAAGTTCCATATAAACCTTGAAGCAACATTCTTATATCAGGAAAACCAGTAGGAAAGAAATTCTGAAAAATTAATCAACATAGAATGCTTGCAAGTAAAATAGCATAAGATGACACACAAACCCTCGATTATCATAAGTTGTCTATTTATATATAGTTTGTTTTGAATCTGCTTCAAGCAGGCCTTCTGATGAAATTTTAATAAAAAAAGTTTGAAGGAAATAAGTAACATCTTGTAAGCTGTAAATAAACAAATCTAATCCAAAGTAACTTTTATTCAGACTAGCATACAGTCTACTAAAGCAGAAGATTGAATATCCTCATAAAATAAAATTAAAAGAAAAATCAAGGGAAAAACTCCTAAATTCAGTAATTTAACCATCTCTTTACATATCCAGCCAGTTATCCAGTAAAGACACTCATATTAATTAACCATTATCTATAAATACCATAATGAAGCCATGAAAAGTACTTTGTCCAATAAAAGATGCCAAAGCAAGTGGCTGGACTCAATGTACTATGTTTGCACTATTATCATTGAAAGTGACGAACATAAGTCATACAAGTACCATCTCAATAAAGTCCTAAAGTAAACAAGGCTTCTTCTAGTAATAAAGAGCTTGAGGTTTGCATTAAGTCATTCTACACAGATCTGACATGAGGCATACCTTCAAGTGTTGTAGTTGAGAAGTATAGACACGTTTTGAATATTCAAACAATAGCTGGCCAAGGGCATCAGTGTGGGGTGGCAGAGCAGCACCAAGTCCGGCCATCCAACCATCCATAATTGCAGTTGAAAGAAGTTCCAACTGACCAGTTGATCCACCCGAAGCATCATCTCCAGTTAAAGATAGAAACTCAAAATTCTCTGCAAGCCAGGATCTAATTTGGCGCTGCAGCTCACCTGCTGGAGTATGTACAAAAAGTGCAGCAAGAGCCTTGTTGCCAATTGCAAAACTTTTGGCCTCCTCAGTTATTTCCCTAAGCTTTCCACCAGTTACCTGTTGCCTCCAGATGTCCTGTACAGTTTATTTTAAAATGCAAAGAGAATAAGGAAAAAGGAAGAATCTACATGTAACCCAGGTTCAAACAATGAAAGGTTGTAGTCAGGTATGTGCCAGAAAAGAAATTAAGACACAAAAGCAACAGAAAAACTAAAAGAATGAATATGTTCAAGTTTAGTAAATGTTAACTTGCTCAGCCTTCATTCCTCAAAAAGTTATCAGTCATTTAGCCAACAATACAAGATGGGGCACCAAGAAATGGTAAATGGTAAATGTAAAAGCATTTATAAAGCTCAAAGATTTCAAAGAATTCACAGGAGAAACTACAATTTCCTCCCTTGACTGTTAATTAATAATTATAATATAATAGGTATTAGCAGCTACCTGATCAATCCCACGAATCTTCAACACTACAGATGAAAATTTGGATTTCTTCTCTGGCTTTAGATTCACTTTAAATCCCTGGATCTGCTCATCCACATATTGCACAAGAGATCTACCGGGACTACTCCCTCGGCTGGAACTTCTACTGCGCCCAGTATTAGCCTTCTCAAGAAAGCACTCAACTGGCAAAACCTTCCAATTCAATGTGCAAGACTTACAAAATCAACAAAATGTATGCCACTATACTCAATAAAACACTACAAAATACACAGCAAAAACCTTATTAGAACTTCTGTTCTTTCGAAAAAGAAAAAATTAATAACCTCTACTGTTTCTACCTTAATTGATTGCAACTCTGGGGATCTTGCAAGCAAAGATCTTATATATAGAATCCTAACACGGGAAACAAGCATTGTGTCCATCACTCGTTTTGGTTCCATCTTTCTGATAAAAGAGAAAACAGAATCCCTAATTTCAGCAAGTATCTCATGTTCTCTAGAGGCACCAGCTTTGATGACAGCAGCAAGAACCTACAACAATTTTGAGATATGCTCATAAAAATATAGCCCAAAATGAATACCTACATGGTGTCTATATGGGAATTGATGATGACATGTTATTGAGATGCAAAGCAATCAAGATCACAGAATTGATCTCTTTACCTGACATTTGTTATGGACAAAATTGTATGTACAACCTCTCTTGGATGCACAGTACATGATTGTTAGAATCAAGGAGTTATAGAATGGGACCAATTCCCATGGTAAATATTCTAGTAAATATAAAAATTAGAAAAGCACAATTATAAGGATTAGCAGTTATTATTTTAAACACACATGGTCAAATATTGCCCTAATTTTGTGGTGAGCTTAGGTCTCACTGTCTACAATAGGAGGGTCAGAACCCTTCAATCAGCCTATATCAGAATTCTGTTAGTCAGCATCAGCGCATGCAGAAATCACAGGCTTCTCTCCAGGCTTTAGTGCTCTCCCACACATCTGCACATGAGAGTGTGAGGGCTGATTCTTGACCTCTGGTTTCCTTCACTGGCAGCACAGTTTCCAGTCTATTTCTCTGGTGTGCATCGCCTCAAGCACGGGTACGGCAGTTTCCATGGAATACCGGTACCAGGTGCATACCAGGTATGCCTGGGTACGTACCAGGTTCATACCCAAAAAAATTTGGAAAAAAAAAATGGGGTACGCAAAGTGGGTACGGCTTAGGTGCAGGAAGTGGGATTTTGGACCAAACTTTTTGGGTTTTTTTTTTGGCCCAAAAATCTGATACAGTTGTCTCTTTCTCCCTTCCAGCTCCCACATACCCGTATTACCTCCAGCCTCCACATACCCACAGGCTACAGGCTGCTGCTTTTCTCCTCCCATCTCAAACCTCAACCATCAGCCCTCACCGGCGAGCTGCAACAGGCGACAGCAGTGGTAAGTCTGGCGACCATCTCTGACAATGGCAAGCAACGAACAGCAGCTCAATCTCTGCTCCAAGGTAAGTCTCCCATCTGAGATCTCGTGTTGGGTTTGGGGTCCAAAGTCTAAACATTTGTGCATTTTAGGGACATTGAAATTGATCTAAATTCTGAAATAAATTAGTGATTCAAGTTTAGTAATTTATTCTATAATAGATCCAATCACAACATTCTAGTAGTGGGTTTGGTAGTAGTTTTGGGACATCTTTGTGTGCTAAAATTATATATATATATATATATATATATATATATATATATAAAATTTGTGTGCTTTTATTTTTATATAATTTTTTCATATTTTATTTTGTATAATTTTACATGTGTGTGTGTGTATATACCCTATTTTTTCTTAAAATGTCGTATCCCGTACCCGGTACCGTACTAGTATCCATGCAAAGTTGTGCATCTCTAACAATGTTATCAAATCACAGATGGTGGCTCATGGCGGAAACCAAAAAGACTGCCATAAAGTTATGGCGGCTGCCATGGCGATTTATGGCAGATATAATAAAATATATAAAAAATATTATAAGTCATAGAAATTTAATATAAATGCTCAAGAAATTCTCGAGATTACATCATCATCATCATTCCAAGTAACAGTGTAAAAGAGAAAAACACTGCAGCATGGACGTTATATTAAACAAAAAATGCTAAATGGAGCTTGAACAACAAAACAGAGGATGAATAGCAAAATAGAAAGCAAGAATGATCAGTGAATAGTAAATAGAGCTCAAACAAAAAAGCAAAATAGATGCCGGAAAAGCTTATTTCTCCGGTAAACAGAAAAGCGGAGGAAACGCTGGAAAAAAAAAACTGATTTTTCCAGCGAAATGGAGTGAGTGAGTGAGTTGGTGAGGATGGGAGAAAGTGCTACGTTGAGGTTTCAACTCTTCGTGCAGAGAGGAAGAGTGTGGAGGAAGATGAAATATATGTTTTATTGAGGGTAAATGACCTTTCTACCCTTAAAAATAATAAGGGTGCGTTTTAAAAAAACAGAAAAGGGTTTCTTCCTTTCCCCAGAATAAAAAACCCAAGCAGCCCAGCTGAACAGAAGAAAAAGAGATCTCAATAGAGAGCAAAGAGAGAAATCTCAGCAGAGCAGAGAGAGATCAGCAGAGAGGAGAGAGAGACTGCACAGAGAGAGATCAGCAGAGGAGAGAGAGAGAGATTGTAGTGAGAGAGAGAGTGAGATCGTGGGGAGAAGAGAGGAAAAAACCTTTAGTTTAGAGTTGGGTTGTCTAGACCAGGTCGGGTTACTAGCCCAAACTTGCAGAAAAAAACCCATTTTTCTATAAAAAATGCCATATTTCCACCATAGTGCTGCCACAACATTTCGCCACGCCACACCATACCTGTAATGAGGTCCCTCAAAACCACCACGCCATTCCGCCATGGCACCGTCATAACCGTTTTTTAACAACACTGATCTCTAATGGCAGAAAGCAAACCAACAGCAAGTGAATGATGCAACTCTGGTGGTGACAGACAGAAAACAAACAAGTGGCCCTATTTGTATTTACTATTGCAAGACCTCCTTTTAAGAGAACCCAGGACATGGTACAGTGAATTTAGTACATGGTACACACGATCATCGAGTGAATTTTGTAACTAAGGACAATGATAACTGAACACAAGATTAATGGCTCTTACTGTTGGAACTGGTTCAACTCAGTTCTGATTTACCTTAAGTATTGAGAAGGATGATCATCTCACTACTCACTGATGACCCTCCTACAGATCATACAAAGGAAGCTTGGTAGAAGAATATTCCTGATTTTTTATTTTTTATTTTTTATTTTTTATTTTTTTCAGATTCAAAATTCCATCAGTAATAAGATAATTGGCTTAATCAATCACTGAGTATGAGTTTGTAGGAATCATTCAGTGACAACTCAAACTTGTGTTTGGGCATACCAAAAAATGGCTCTATATTGTTGATTTCATGGAGGGCTTTATGAGAGGTTTTGGAACTTGATGAAATTTTGTACTGTTTGGATGAAGTACTACATTAGAGCATGGTTCAGCGAGGCTTGTTCTTGGGCTGTGGTATTATACTCTTTTTAGAGGTACAAGGATGAAGATGGAAATGTAAGCTTTTAATTATGGGGGAGGGTAAGATTGACTAGGATTTTTAAATGAGGTAAACAAGACATTTTACCCATATATTGTACAGCTGCCAACACCTTACAATCAACAAAGACTGGTGTCATGTCCCATACAAGAGGCAGTGTAATATGAGCTCTAACACTGGGGTGAGTGTTAGGAAGAGGTCCCCAATTATGCACGTCTATGAAAGGAGAAATAAGAGGGATGCTGGGAATACTAACTGTATGTAGGTGGTGATGCTATAGCTGAAAATAACAGTTAGCTATGTTGTAACTGAAAATAACAGCTCGTAACAGAATAAGCACAGGTTATACATAGGAGCAAGAGCAAGTTAGCACAATAAGGGAAGTTTTATGTACTCAGTTGAGATAGGAGAGACAGGCCTCTAGAAGAGCCAATTCAGTGCATCCATTTACTCTAATTCTCTCCCACATTGGCAGTGGTTAGCACTGTTCTCATTCAATAATATCAATTCCTTCTTTGACACTGATATCAGCTCTAACGGTGAGTGTAATTTCCCCAAAGCTTTTAAATGCATTCAAGTCTGTCACTGATTACCAGTGAATAATTAGAAAGAGGTTAGATTAAATTTAGGAGTATACTGAAATGTTGAATTTTGCATGTATGATCTGGATTTAGACATTCTTCCCCTGAAAAGCTCAATAAAAAAAAATAACATCCACATATATTACAATAAAGCTGTTTTCAGTAAACTGAATCATGAATATATCACTTGTACATACCAGCATCAAAAGCTTGTTTGCACCATCAGAAATAGCAGCATGCCCTTCGTATTGATCTGGATCAAAGTCATTTAGAGCAGCAGTAAGATATTCACCTGCAGGGGTACTCTTAATTATTTCAGATCCAGTTTTAACTACAGCAACTGTGCCATCATTCTTATCAGTGGCCAGTGGTGAAGGAAGAACATCCATAGAACGAGAACTTGTATAGTTGCTGGTGCCATTCCTATTTCAAGCAAATGAGAATAAAGCCAAAATTCATATGCTTGAAAATAAAGCAAAACTGAAAAACATACAAGAAATAGAATAAACTGTACCTTCCAATATCTCGAGGCTGAACATTACCTGATCCGCAAGATAATGGACTCGACAACTGAAAATAAGCATCAATTTTAGAGAGCCAGAAATACAGCAGAGTGGCATAATTATCAATATAAACAAATTATTAGTACAATACTGTTTGAATGTGTTATCAATGATAACATGTTTGTATTACTATATGTTGCTGAATTCGTGATTGATTAAAAGAAAGCAAACAATGGTAGAACATAAGAGAGCATCTATGGTTGGAGCATGACAATGGAAGCCAGTATACAAATCAAAAGTTCTTAACAATCAAGCATTACTTATGTGCAATACAGAAACATTTAGTTCTTTTCTGACACAAGCACAGTCATCAGAAGAAAAATATAACTGGGCTGCCAAATTCAGTGTAACTTATTTTAATAAAATACAAAGCTTGAAAAATAAAACTTAAAACAGAAGTGTGAAATTTAAAAGGGTTGATAACAATACTTCCTTTTATATATAATACTTCATAATGATTGTATCCAATTAATCTGGTTAGTTTTGAAACTTCCCTACCTGGGGTGATCCAGCCATAGACGCTTTCTGAGTTAATCTATCAAACAATTTCTCATTTTCCTCATGCAACCTCTGCAGGCCATCCAATATCAAATTGAGATCCTCACCAGAATAATTACAACAATAGTAAGCTTAACAAATTTAAATACAGATAAAGAATTAAACAAATTAATATTTAGAATTTACAGCATGGCAATGTTTTAGACTTAATTTAATTATTTCTTACAAACATTATGGTCCATCCGCACAGAGCATCAACAGTAATGCTTTTTATGAAAAGTTTTACTCAGGTAAATAAAAATTACAGAAAAACCAAAAGAAATAACCATATATAAATAGGAAACAACAATTAGAAGACTGTGACAATAACACACAATTGTCAAGTGTAGCAGACCTCAATCAGAGCATCACGTTTCTTGAGCTCCTCTTCTAGTTTTTTGGTTACTGCAGAAGAGTCCATGCCATCTCCAGTAGGTCCAGAATTGGATAAAGCAGCAAACTTTGGCATTGACCCAGTTTCACTAGATTTAATAGCTTCATTGAGCTGAGTTTCAAGGGTTTTAATTTCAGCCTGTACCAGAGGAAAAACAGAGAACACATGAATTACTGGCAAGCATGAAGAAAGATGGCATACATCACTACCTTTAGGACAAAATTTATTTGCACTAATATCAGAAAATTTAGCAAAGGGTGTAATTAATTGTGTTCAAACTCCTCAATAATGAAACAAATAAGAGTGCAGTGACCCAAATTGTGGTGAAGTTTTGTTCCAACAGCTTTGTGCTAGAAAGGCCATCAGGACACACATAAATGTGATAATATATAGCACCCGATCGCACACAATAAAATCAATAGCACAGGCAGCATTAAATAGGATGTATGAAGTCCAAAACACCAGAGGGGAGAACGAGCAAGATAAAAATGTAATAAGAATTTACAGGTAAGAAGCAATTGTGAAGAATTTTTGGCTCAATTATAGTTGATAAATGTGAGGTCAAGCATCCCAGCAAAGAAAAATGATTAACATTCATTGTACTTAAGAAGTTATATGTAAGGCCATTATAACATTCAAACGGGAAATTGGACTTGTATACCATCAAGAGGTCCTTATGAACACTAACACAAACTAGCATACGATAGGACCAACCTGCAAACTTTGGATGGTTGAATCTTGCTGTTCTATCTGCAATTTTTTATCTTGCTCTGTCCGTAAAAGTTGAGCAACTTGATTTCTAAGCTGAGTATTTTGTTCTGTCTCTATCTTATGTTTATCTGACAGCAAAACATGCTCCAACTGCAACAAATAAAAACAACAATGTAATACACTAACAAGCCTGAAGCCTTTGTATTCAAAGCTATCAACCAAGTGTTAATAGCACAGTACAATGACAATGGATTAGCATAACCCAAGCATGCCATATTTTGAAAATACAATTGTCAAACTACCAAGTAACTTGTCATTGCATAGAACTGGAAAACTATGCCAAGCAAATTCAAACACCAAACCTTTAAATCAGTCTGTAATGCAGAAGAAATTTTCCATGCCTTCTGCACTTCATTGAAGAGTAGAACACACTGATCATTTGCATCTTTAAGTTCCTGCTTAAGTTCCAGAACCTCTTGCTTTAGACCAAGAATTTCTTTTTCCTTCTCATATAACTCCTTTCGCGCATCATTTGCCTATTAGAAAGACATAGGAAACACAATACATGATATAAATAGAAAATTTGTAATTATTAACTTAGTTTGCACTCAACATCATTCTATTCACATACAATTTTATTCAATGTAATATATAATAATGATTTCACAATTATTCCAACAAAAATTCACATCGATGAGTAAAAATAGGAATGGGAACTTACAACATCTCTCCACTTCTTAATTGTATCTCGGTTTCCAAGGCTGAATACAGAATTTCGAGCTCTAGCAGAGAAATTGAGAGATGACAAAGTCTCAGATAAATTTGAAACACTTGGACACACATTCACAATCATCAGAGTTTTTGAACTCCCACCTACAAACATCAAAGAACACTAACTGAAAAATTAGATCCTGTGCCAGAAAAATGATCATAAAAAACAGTCCCAAATCATGATGAATCACAAAACAATTTCTATAATTGCATGGGCAGTCAATTTACTGAATAGAAAATGAAAAGCAAGAATAACCATAAAATCAAGGGTAATTTTTTTATTTTTTTTTGTACAGAGTGCACGTAAATTCTTCATGTACCAATGACAAGACTTAAAGAAATGAGAACAGCATTTTACAAGCACAGTGGCATAATTTTACTCTGGGTGTTCTGGAGGATACATTTACCCAGGAAAGTTACTTTTGCAGGCAATACTGAATACAAATGTGGTGCATACAATCATCTTGTTGATGTCAAATAGACAAAGAATAACTTGATATATTTTAAGTGAAGAATTTCATTAAGAAATAGGGGAATACAAGTGGAAAAGAGGATAATAAGTCCTCAATAGAATAAAAGAAAACCAAATAACAGGGAGCAAAAGGCATCAATGTAACAAGACCACCCAATCCCTCAATAATGATAGAAAAATAGGCAAAGAATACAAGGGCAATAATGTCATCTTGGAAACTTATGAAAAAGAAATCCAAATCGAATGAAGTTAAAATCAGACCTAAGCTTCATAAGAACCCAATGGATTGCTATTAACAACAATGCCACCAGAAAACATCAATGAATTAGAGTAATAGGCAAAGAGTATCTAAGTATTTGACATGATTGCACACTAACAAGAAAAAAGCACATCCAACTTGTAAAATCTCATTAGCATCTTGTGGGAAACAACCTTGTCAATGTTACATCAACATTTCATTAGGTTCAACAACTCAAAGACCAAGTACAGGTAGATGCACACCATAAGTGAAAAGATAAAAAAGAGGGAATAGAAAATCAATACCAAGTGAATCTGTAAGCAGTTTTGTTAACATCGAATTTTCGTAAGGAATAATATCCTTCTTTGATGTTAAAGAAGATAAAACATCTCCCAACCTGCATATTCATTTTTAAAATGCAACAAGTTAGACAATAAATTTTCTAATGCACCACCATTCTTTTCACTAAACTTGCCCAAAATTTCAATATGAACAGAAAAGAAATTTATATATTTGACTAGAAAATCACCCCACAGATCTACATATGACAAAGAGTTAGGGAGAATCTATTTACATTTCCACTTTGTGGACATCAGTATTATTTACTTATTTATGCATGGTTTAATGCAGTACACACAGAACAGGTCTGGGTTCAAGTATGACACTTTGTAGTTCGTTCAATTCTCCATGCATGTCAGCAGACATAGCAAATGCACTATTTAAATCAAAGTAAGCAGAGATCACATCAGTACACTGAATGGGACTGGTTGCAATTACTGACACTTATAATTCTCAATACATGTGAGTAGACTGTGTATGCACTATTTACATCACCAAGCATAGAGGCACTATGGTTGTCCCGCTATCTTCCTTGCAGATAAAAGATTAATTAGAAAATATCTCTTCTTTCAATGGGAATCACCATTGTTGAACAATCTGGAGAATAAATGTGCAACATTGGAGTCATAAAATCCAGTTTGCAGTTGATAGGAGAACCATGGAAGTACATAACACAGTGACACCAACAAAAAGCATATCCCTTAACTTAAAAGTGTATCAAGTATCAACCTCTCTATTCATACATGTTGATTCTTCAAAACATTAATTACTAAACTAAAGCCTACAGAAAGTATTCAACGCATGCAACTGCTCTTTGTTTCTGATCAGCACATAATGTGTGGGCCCCTATCCAATCCATGTCTACTAGCAAAAGAAAAAAGAGAAAAGGGCCAGAAATGGGAATATGAATTCAGATTAAGAAGTAGAAGATCTACAAGAATGGGCAGCCACCATGACAAGGTTGGTGACAGAGAGGTTGGGGTCATGAAAGAAACCTGATTATGGAGGTGGAAGAACAATCAAGGGAGAGGAAAATTGGCTGATGCCATTAGGGACAGGGAAAGCAATTTATTTTTTCAGTAGTCTTTCTTTCCTTATCAGTCCTTATATTTCTCTTTTGCTACATTCTGTAACAAGGTCCAGGAGCTTGTTCCTTGTTTCATCTCACAATATCTTGGTAAAATACTAGATTCAATCAGTTATTTATTTTTTATTATTTTTATTTATTATATTCCATTTTACATACTATTTAGTATACTCTGTTTCTATTGCTTATAAATTATCAAAAAAACTGCCTAATATCAGTGTAACAAAAAAGAAAGAAAAAGATTCAGAAAAAATTAAAAGAAAATACAATTTCAGATAAAATAGGGTGTCTTTGTACAGTCTTGTTTATCTGTGCATTGAGTCCTCTGCAGCTCCAATAAGAAGCATTTGCCATAATTTTTAGACTCCATGCAATCTTTGAGCAGACCTCCTGCATGCACCATGCATTTTGACTCCTCCATTCAAAACTTCCGTATGGTTGAAAAAAACTAAAACTTATGGCTTAACCAGTACTCAAGACTTGAAGAGACACTCTTCACCCCTAATCAATTTTTCTCACATGTTGCAACTCTATTTGGATTGTGTTATGCGACATTGGAAATATAAGACCCAGTTGTTGTTGTAGATAGGGGAATTAGGAAGTTAGACAACACAATATACATTAAAGTGTTGTGCCCAAACACCATAAGTTAAACACAAACCCACATTCAGTATTAGGAGATTTAAGTATTGAAACATTTCTTCCCCAAGCAGAAACAGAGATAACAATCCAGTTGCCTAACTCAGTAACATTTGCAACAAGTAATGAAAACTTATAAACCATAAAATCTAGGATATCAGAAAATACTTCAAATGCACTGACACCTTAAAGACATGGGTGGACAAACACCTGGCCAACTATTATGCAAATTAAGCAAATACAGATAAAGTTGTTCACAAAGAAAACAATAATGCATTAAAATTACTTACGCTGAAAGTGACTTCATAACGTGCAGCAAATCTGTGACATGCTCACCACTAGCATCTTCTGTTATCATACCTTCACTTCCAGCCAAGTCAACCAGATAGAGTTTACTATATGAGTTTTCGCCAGTGATCACATTGTTATAAAATATATGTACGACGACAATCCTGACAAAGCAAGGTACGAAATCAACAGAGCTGAATTAGCCTATAGTTGCCTAAGAATATCTGGCAGCTCATGCAAGGAAATATCAAAATAGTAACGTATACAATAAAAAAAAACTTCTAAGAACTTCTTTCTAATAGAATATCACCGTGACATATTTAACAGAACAAGTTGTTAACATTGTTTCCAGTACAAATCTTCAAAAATAGGAAACAAAGTGAAAGCAAGGTGGCATTTTTGTAATTATTAGTGAAAACAAAAAGTGAACACACACACAAACACACCATGGTAGATTACATCCCACAAAACAATCTTTCATTTGTGCATTGATCTGCACAGCCATATTGGCAAAAGTATGCTATCAAATGAAGTTTATCATGCAAATTATATAAGACAAATAAAACAAGTGTAACATAACTGTATAATATAGGCAGAGAATTTAGACCGTACAAATGAGATACATTATTCTTTAATAAATCATTTCCCCGACTCTGCAATGCAGTTTTTAAAACTGCAGAAAACTCGAGAGGGTTATCGACTTTTTCCTGCACCAGTTCTATGAAACATTCAGGTGATCCCAAGCAGAGTTTAGGCATGCTTTTCCCTGACTCCAAAAGTAAATCCCTAGTCTGAAAGCACATACAAGGAAACAATATGAAAATCTTAATAATCCTAAGTGAACAGAAAATCAGGATGCAAACCAGAAATACAATAGGAAAGGTGTACATTTTGTAAGTGAAGACAGAAAGAAACCTGTTCATTATACAACTCACAAACTGTAACACAGAATTTATATTGCGAAGTAGAGGTTGTATCCAAATTGGCTAAATCAAACAACTCCTCAAAACAGCGAGCATATAACCCCCGGTCATAGCTTGATCCTTCCTGAGAGTAATGAATGAACATCAAAGAAGCAATTGATAAGGACAATCATCATTGAATCAAGACAAAACAAGAACATGTAAAAATAATTAAACCATAGGGTAGCCACTTAATCTTCAATTGTTAAACAAAATTGAGTTTGAGACCCTCTTCCAAGTGCCAAGTCCTTTTTGTTTTATTTTATTTTATTTGTGAGAGAAAAAGTGATTTGTGTGTGTACACAGAGACAGCGAAAGAAAGAAGGAGCAACCATAGTATGTGTCTTTCCAGAATGGGTTTGTCCATATGCAAATATGGAAACGTTATATCCATCCAAAGCTGACTGCACTAGTGGTTGAACATCACTGAATAATTCAGCTGCAAACATAATAAGGGAAAGATAAGTAATCTACAAATCAAAGACCAATTTGAACTCAAGAAAAATAGTAAGGAAGAATAAAACCATTTTACCTTGACCAACATGAGGTCCATAAACTCGGTCAAATTCAAAATCTTTCTTGGCATTAGACAAGGATTCATCACCAGTGCTAACACGAATAGTATAATCATCTGGAAATTCAACAACTGAAGGACCTTCATCATCAAATAATGGCCTTGTCCGGCAGAATAATCGTATGTTTCCTGCAAATATCAATTGCCGGATATATGTTTTCAGCTCAGAAAAGCTTATGTATGAATATGCTTAGATAATAGGAATGTTGCTTATCCAACTAGTTTCAGTTCCAGTTACTGCATAAAGAGTGTATTTGAGAGACCAAAAGATAAAGTGAATATGAAGAACCAACCCAATACGAGAGGAAAATTTACACATAGCAGTTACCTTTAGATGTCAATAAATCATTGAATAATCTTCTTTTCTCATTGATCACTGGAGATATTCTTGCTTCCGTTTCAAGTGCAACTTGATCTGAAATTCACAAGTAGACCACAAATTTCAAAATTTAGTGACAGAAAACCAACAGTACAGCAACATAACACATAATAATACGAATATAAAAAAATAGTTTACCAAACTTTGGAATGGGGCAACCTCCCTTTCCCCTAAACTTTTTGTAGCAGAAACAAAAATAAAAGATAAAATTTTTCATAACTTTATTTACTTCAAGAAAATCAATGCTAAAACTGCTACATTTATTGTGATACAGATCAAAATTTTACTAACAGTATGAAAACATGAATCATGAGTTTAAAGGTTGAGTCTCTTTTTGTCACATTTTATCTTAACAGATGAGTCTCATTTTGTTGCTGTGATTAAGTATGTCAATCAAGCAAAAGAATTTACAGGGCAAGTATTCCAACACCCTGTGCTTATATAAGCATGAGCCAAGAGACAAGATAAATTAGTTTCTTACCTAGCTTGCGGGTTTTCTCTGCAAGAACACCAAGATATCGTGTAACTCGATCAAGTTTTGCATTTGAATATTCTTGAAGTTCACTTGCTTCTTGTCTTAATTGCAAATAGTCTTCTCTAACAAGCTGTGCAAAATATCTGATGCGATTGTAATGACTAAATTGAAATTGCATGATCCAAATCATTAGGAGAGGATGCAATATAAAAAATAAAAGTCAACTCAAACCAGCAAGACTGACCTGTAAGAATGAGCAAGTACTTTAAAATTTTAAATAGTACAGATGCACATCCTCTAGCATCTTGATTTTTTCCTTTCTTGATAAATGGCAGCATGAAGGTAACCTAATGCCAACTACCCAAACCCCTTATCAACCCAATCAATCACAATTCAACATGCAACATCATATACTAGAAGAGTAGAATCATTTGATAACATAAGAACATAGTCATTTAGTTTATACTTGTTAGATATCATGTATGGGAAACAAACAAAACTACCACTCAAGGAATTTTCAAAAACGGGGCCGTTGGTGACTTGGTATTCTATTTCAGGTAACAAGACATCATGTTACATATATGCACTCTCGCATCTTAAGCATCTCCCCTCCCCCCCCCCCCCCCCCGCCCCTTTCTCTCTCTCTATTCCCGTTTGATCCCAAATTCTTCCTAGGCCGAATTCTTCTTGTTTACATCATATTATTCCTAAAAGCCTCGTTGACCTTAGAGCACCCAATTTTGCCTTCTTCATCACAGAATCACTAAAATCAATCAATATAGGTTGCGAACTTGCAATAGCCCTCCCAGCAATTAATCGAAGTTTACACAAGGACCATGGAAAACGCCAAATATTCATTCACTCAGATCAACGCGCTTACATTAACTGAGAAGAGCCTATAACACAAAACTCAGTAACAAAACCTATTCAGTTTCCGATGGCACGGCAGCTTAGTGCATTGAGACTCTACAAAACATTCAAACCGATCTCGCAAACCAACAATAGCTTACTTAACAACCTCAATTTACTCTCAAATTCACATGCCAAAACTCGATGCACCTTAAACAACAACGCAACAGCGGAAATGAGAGCTAAAACGTCGCCGTTGCGAACACTAACAACGAAGCAGAAACCACCTAAACTCTTTCCGAATTAAAATGAAGAAGAAAGCTAAAACGTCGCCGTTGTGAACACTAGCAATGAGCAGAAACAATCGAAGAAGAAGCTAAAGCACAGTGACAAGTGGAAATGAAAACACATTACCTTGACTTTGTCCTTCAACCGCTGAACTTTGGAGGCCATAAATTGCCTGGACTGTGGAAGAACCGATGAAGCCGAAATGGAGTACCTCCGCACCAACGGCGCACTAACTTTCCGATCGTCGTGCTCAACCACCGCCGGCGTGGACTGCGGCGGCGGCGGCGGCGGCGACTTCCACGGGTCGAAGCCGGCGACGTCCCAGCTCCACCGGTTCCTTTGCTCTGCCATTGCTTCTCACGCAATCACGTTTTGCTTTTTCTTTCTGTTCTCAGATTGAGTCTCTTCAAAATTTGAAATGATAAAGTTTTACGGAATGGAATATAAATAATTAAATGCAAATAAATAAAAGGAGCTTTATGGCTTTTATTGTTATCATTTCTCGCTGTGGCTTTTGGTTTTGGTCTTGGGCTGTGATAATGAATGGAGGGAGAAGGAGGTTTTGGTTTGAGATGGGTGAAACGGTGTCGTTTGAGAAACGGGAGAGGGAGAGAGAGTGTGTTGGGCTTTTCTGGCTCACATGATATTGTGCGCTTCTTGTTTGTTCACTCTTCGCTCTCACTCCCTTTATTGCTGTGTGTTTTTTGCTTTAGATTTTGGTTTATTTGACGGTAAGGGTTCCTTCTACTTGGCTTCACCTTGACGAAGAATTCTGCTCCCCATGCTTTCTATTTTTGTTTTCCCCTTTATAAACCCCTCGGACACGACTCATCATTCAAGGACCTTATAATATGCATTTCAGCAGAATATCTAAAAAAATTTCTGAAGTTTCTCAATTTATATTAAAATTTAAAAAATAATTATTTCTTAAGAGAGTAAAAGGAGGGTCAGCCTCCCTTTATTTAAATGAGACAGACAACTAAAACCATCGAACATTTAAAGTAAATTTAAGTTTATAGGTTCATTTTTTTATTTTTTATGCTTTTAAAATTAAATTCATTTTTAATATAATAACCTATATCTACGTATTAAATGAAAGTTCTAATTTTTAAATGACCGTATTTTAAGGGCTATCTTAGATGAGACTTTCTTTTAGGGTTATTATTTTTTATTATGTCATATGATTTTTTTATATTAAACATTTAATTATTTAATTTAATATAATTTTAATTTTTTATAATTTATTTTTAAAAAATATATTTCTTTAATTTATTTCTATTTAATATAATATTTTTATTAATAATAAAATATTCAATTTTAAAAATTTATTAAATCTTAACAAATTATACAATGTATTTTTTTATAAAAAAATATTTTATTTAAACTATATTCGTCTAATACATTATAAAAAGAAATTCATTGATTATTATTACATCTTCATTTTATATCTAAGTTATTAGTTCATTTATTTATCTCAAAACTTTCTTATTCTTTTACCTTTGACAAGGATAAATTCAAAAAGTATTATATTCATCTTGAAAAGATTTTAATTATTGATAAACATTTTCAGATTTATTTCTTTTTAGTCATGGTTTATTTTTAAAATTAAAGGTAATACAATCAATAATATATATAAATTTAACATAAATATACTAATAGTGTAAGAAATTATGTTATTATTTAATTATTAATTGTTATATGATTGAAAGATTAATTCGAGTTACAAGTAACTCAATATTACTTAAGTAGGATCTTGAATTTGAGTTGTCATATATAAAAAAATATTATATATAATAAATTGTCATAAAATTAAAAGGCATTAATTTTTTATAATTAATCTTAAAATTAAAGAATAAAACTATAACAAATGATTATTTTTTATAATTAATCTTAAAATTAAAGAATAAAACTATAACAAATGATTATATTCTTCTTTAAATACATACATGGCTTATTATATATTTGTTTTGCTTAAGTATATAAGAAATAAATAAAATTAATAAAAAATAATTGAATGTAACAAATTTATATTATAATGTAGATATACTTCTGATATTAAATGATCAAATTTGTTATTTATATGTTAAATGAATAATATATCCATTTATTAGAGGTAATGGGTAAGTGTTTTTTGGTAACATAAATTTTTTAATAAATAAAGGTGTAAAAATAATTTAACAATTATTTAAAAAAATATTTTTAATTATTTCTTTTAAATAGGGTTAGAGAAGGTAATATTTGTAATCCTTTTTTTACTGAGAATCGTAAATGTTTTACACATATATGCTAAAATTTAATTTTACAATAAATAATTACTTTTAAATTCTTAGATAACAAAGTAAAGGGTTGAGTTTTGTAAATATTTCTAAAATCCAAAAAAAAGTCATAAATAATTTGTGAAGCTCAAATAGAATATTTAGAAGAGAAATAAGGGTTTTATTTTTTAAAAAATTATTTCTAAAGCCTAAACCTACTTGAAAATTTTTCAAATTTGTTTAGGCATGATATACCATTGAATTAGGTTTTGACAGATTAATTAGGCTTAGAAAATTCATCTAATCTAGAAAAAAAGTCTTTCATAAGTCCTAACTCTTTATGTATGTCATGGTTTTACTCGTTTAAAAGCCATTTTGAATTATTTCTTATATGTATGAGTGAAATGATATTTTAAATTCATTTAACATAGGTTATAAATGAAATTTTGTTGTGAAAAATATGGACTTAAAATGAGAGGGGGAAAAAGAACTTAGAAGTTACAATATTTTTATGTGTAGGTTTTGAAAATTTTGAAATATAACATGAAAAATAAAGGATTCTTTTATTAAAATTATAGTTGTAGAGAAATAAATAAATAAAATAGATAAAAAAATTATATGAAGAGAGTTGAATTGTATTTTTAATCTTCTAAAACTTTTAGCAGAATCTTTTTTGAAATGTATGTTTAAAAGATATAAATATCTTTCCATCCTTGTATAATTGCTTCAAAAATTGGTTTTTCAAAACATATTTTTTTTTTATTAGACAAGCCTCACTTTTTATTTTAAAAAATATGTTATGATTTTGAGTTAACAATGAGAAAGATAAACATAAATGATTTATCCCTGATTCAGTCACAAATTTTGAATTATGCCTAATTTTTTACTTCTTGCCAATATTTTTCAATAATCATAAAATTCCTTTCACAATTGAAGATAATTCAATTAGTTCTGAAGTATTCTTAATATTAGTCTCTTCAAGTACAATTATTTCTAAGAATTATTTTATATACAATTTTTTTAATATGTGCAACATTGCACAAAATAAAATTATATATAATAATGTTTATTAAAAAATATAAATTTTAATGTAATTAAATGCATTAATACTACTAAATATTATAATTTTCAATAAAAATTCACTATATATTTTTTTATGTTGTGCAATGTTGCACAAGTTGAAAAAATTATTATATATATATAATTTTTTTAAGTCTTAACTCACTTCTAACTTGTGAATTTTCTCTCAAAAAATAAATGTTATGAATATGAGATCTTTAATCAATACTATAAAGATAAATTAGTTGTCCCTTAATTTGTATTTATCTATTAGTCTTTAATGTTAGCTATCATATATCATATTAGTCCTTATCTTTATACGATGTTAAAAAGAGGCAACAAATGATAAGTTGATATATTAAATGCTCTGTGTTGACGTTGAAGAGGACAAAAAATGACATTATAGTATTCATCTCTCTCCTCCAATATGTACTATTCAACCATTGTAAAACATTGTTTATAGTGTCTATGTGGCTTCCAATGTTTTTGATACTTTTTTTCAATTACTCTTTTGCATTATTGCATGTTAATTGCAAAAAAAAAAAAAAAGATCTCGTGTTTATTTGTTTAATTCATTATCCACTTTCACATATTTAAGTTAATAATAAGTAATTTTTTCACACATTCCAACAACAAAAATATTTTGACATTAGTGATAGGTAATGTTGGCAAAGTATTATAGTAAGAGTTAAAGAAAGAGCAAATCTAGCAAGAGATAAAGAGGGAGAAAATCAGAAGATAGATAATTGTTAATGAGATTGCACAATGGCGAGAGTTGGAAGAGAAAGTGATAGATGATGCCGATCCGCTATTAAAATAACTAAGTTTTTTAAAGATTTTATAGTATAGAGTCAAACCTAGGTCAACTCACAGAGATACATTCTCGATCAAATCTAATTTTAGGTTTTCTTTAAAAAATGAAAATAAGGTTTTTAGGATTTTAAAAATTGCAAATTAATCAAATTGAATTACAAATAGAATACAATTGAGTAAAAATGAATTAAGAAACACCAATCCATAGAATACCAAATGCGTGTAACTCTGGCTATCACAGTATCTAAAGATTTAAATCCACATTTGAACAATTACTCAATTCGATTATTAATTCAATCGAATAATCTAATTAAACAGAGTTACGAATTAAATCAAATAATCATTTAACCTAATCCGCATTAATTATCAGATCAGACCATCAATCGAGTCCTAATTTAAATTCTAACAACACAAAAGTTAATCACAATCGTAATATACAATTTTGAGATTAGAGAGAAAAAGATAACAAATTTGGACCAATTTAGCGCAGAACTCAAGTCAAAATTATAGTGTTTAGATTCTGCAGATTGAATGAAAGGTTTAGTCTTTCATCGAAACACTTAACCTACAGTCAAGTCTCAAAATCTCAAAGTGTTTTATCACATACCCTAAATAGGAATCTTATTAGTCTATTTATAAGCTCTGATTAGTGTAAACTAAATGGCTAAAATTTGGGCCTTAATTACAACTACAAGTCCAAATACAATTATCTAATAACAAAAGGTCCAAATGCAATCTTGTAATAATAATATTTAGCAAATTTGTCTCAACTTAAAAAAATTATAAAAAATCAAAATCAACTCCAAATCCAGCGATCCATATATGCATTTTGAAGCCCTGGATGTTAGAATCTAATGCAACTGAAATCAGCCAAAAATGATATCTGTAGAAAAAGTTATGGCCGAAAGAGTAGTCAAAGGTTAGAATTACCAAAATATACACAATTAAAACATTTATTTGCAATAGTACCAATTTATTCCAATAAGCATAAAATGGTAAAAACTCTATAAATAAAGTATATTAAAAGTGTTTTATAAATTAAAATAAAATTATAATTATAAACTTAAAATATGTCACATCAAAAAGTTAAAATTTTTGTCTTAATTTTCAGTCAAAACTTAATAATAAAGATTACTCATTTGTGAGAAAGTTGTAATCTTTGCTCTTGATTTTGTTCATTTAGCATGCTAGTTCATCATTCTATACTTTTTTTAATGTCAAATAATGATAAAAACTAATATGATTTATGACAATTAACGTTAAAGACTAACATGATATTTTAAAATCTAAAGAACTAAATTAATGGATGCATATAAATTGAGGTACATAAGTGGATGTTCACTCTTAAAAAACTAAAAAATGAATTTTTTTTAACTTTTTGTTTGAATTGAATGCTTGTGAACTCTCTACCTTTATTCAATGAACTCTTCCTTATATAGTCATCTTTGAGATTTTTTTGTTGTAAGATAACACTTAAGCTTGTTTGTTATTAAACATTGAGATTTAATCCTATTATACATATCAAAGTTTTATGTG